GTAGCTCAATCAAGTGATCATCAATGACTAAGAAACTTAGTGGACATCCACTTAAGTTGACATAAGTTTCTCTCTCTCTCTCTATATATATATATATATATATATATGTGTGTGTGTGTGTGTGTGTGTTACCACATGGGAGGTGCTCACCATAAAAAAGATTTAACTCAGAAGTACAATGATATCTATACAGAAATGACCTAGATAAATTGATTCAGATCTGCCAAAGCAACCTGATTATAAGCGTAAGCTACACATATATGCTTGGTCCTCAGCCTTTCAGATAGACAGGGGTATATTACTCCATTCTGTAATAAATAAAGTAGGACGCCTTCGTAAAATCCATGTGAATTTAACCAGACTTGTATCTACAAGTTGAATTACTTCTCAAAGACATCAAAGGGAAATGAGTAAATTATTGCAGAAAAAGAAAGTTGTAACTCACTTGCATTTAGGATTTCGATCGCATCCAATAAAATAGTCAGATCCTATGACTTTAAATTTCAAAGTGCCAATCGAACAACTGCAGATTGCAAACAAAAAAACTTATGTTAGTTGCTCTCAATTAAACTAGTAGGCACCAGTAAAGAGCATAGATGTAAAACCACAGAAAGCAACATTTAATATTTGAGTGAATAAAACCTGTCCAGCAATTGACAGATAAATGACAAGCAGAGTACCAAAAGTAATTATAGTAACCAAAATCCAGTTAAACAGAATGCAAACTGGAGGATAAATGCATTCAAGACTATTCTATTAGATTTGATAAGGATCGATGCCTATATTTATCACATTTAGAAAACATTCGGGTAAAGTACCTTGGGCATACCCGGCTTTCACTGTCTGCCGAAGGGAACAAGAAGTGACTGAATGTTTTCTCCAACATTTTCTCTACCTATTAGCAATCAGTATGTTTAAAAGGGAAAAATATTAAGATAATAAAATGATTGCTTTACCAGAAACTAAATATATGAGAAAATAATATTTTCACCATCTAAGAAATCACTACCTTACGAATATCAGTATTACTTGCAAGATCACAATGCTTGCTAAATCGTGACCAGTAATCTTTTAGAAGACCCCTCCATTCAGTTCTCCCGGCAGAAACATTATCTAGCTAAGTAGCACAAGTAAAAAATAGAAAATGGTGAGAATAACCATCAAGATAAAGAAATGAAAATTTTACTATTTAAATAATTTTTGCAACTATACCACTTTACATGCTTTTATGAAACAGGGAACATGAACTGTTATTTCGAACAACTATACTACTTTTGTCTAGAGATGCAAGTCAGGGTCTCAGGCTGACTAGCCAAATCATCCTTCAGAAAAGATTTTTGAAACTCGCTTTGAAGTGTTTTGAAGGATAAACGTTTCGAAACTCAAAGGAGAAGCTATTATCCCTCGAAGGGTATGCCTCCTCAGTTTAGGCATAACTTAGATGCACTTTCCGCGCTCTGTAAAGGGCTTCTCTTTTGAAGAGCACACTTCTTAGACAAGATGGGTAGGTATAAAAAACTTTTTGCCTCAAACTAAAATCCCCTTATCACTTCACTTTCTTTTCCCAATTCAAGTCTCAAGGATTTTCTTTTTTCTTTTCACTGAAGTTAAAAAGACAAGAATCACCTTACGGTTCTTGCCTGATCATATTGTATGCCAGCTTATTTTTTATGCTCTAAAAAATATATAATTCTGCTGATTCAACTTATTTTCCAACAATTCTAAATTTATGTTGACCTTTTATTTTTTTATCAATTAGGAAGTAAT